AATCTGACGGCTCATACGTGAGTAAGAGGCAACATAACCTATCTCTTATATCATTATGTTCTGTGTCATATCCTTATTGGTTTAAATTTCGTGGTTTTCTATGTCTAAATTTGCGTTGAATTATATAATACAAAAATAATAATAAAAGTTTTATTTGATGAAGACGATGAAGGTGATAAAATGACATCAAATAAAAATTAAAACAAAAAACTTTGACATGTTTTGTTTAATTTTATTGTAAATGGGTTTTTCTTGTTCTGAAAAACATTTTTATACGAATTTTATTTATTAAATTAAGTTTATAGTCAATTTACAAAATTTAATTATTTTTATGGAATTTTAAGTTTTATTGCAAAAAATCTTTTTTGTAAACGACAATAATTTTATGACTTAAAATAAGAATTAAAAAAATCTTCACTTATACTGTCTTTGTTCAATTATATTGTAAAAAGTGTTTTTTTCGTTCTGAAAACTTTTCAGTGAAAAGCAATTTTATTCGAATTCTATTTATCAAGTTTATAGCTAATTTACAAAATTTAATTATTTTTATGGAAATTTAAGTTTTATTGCAAACAATCACCTAAATAAGATTAGGTTATGTTATTTAAAAACTTGGCGATAATCATAATGTCTAGAGTCCCGTCAGACGGTTCTCTATTGCGCTCCCGTTAACACTTTGTGACGTCACACACTGTAAATCGGTATTATTTTTCGAGCGATAGGATTTTTACAATAAGCTCGGTAGCTCGATGGAAGGGCGCCTGCTTTGCATGCGAGAGATACGGGGTTCGATACTTGGCGCCTCTACAACTTTTTTTAATTTTTTTTTAAAGAATTTATATACCGAAATAATACAATGTGGCCTTAAAAGCATTTATATTTAATTTTACATTAATATTTTAATTTATTTACCTTTCCTCATAATCATTTTGCTATATATATATACAGGGTGTCCGGGAAAAGCAGGTCAATCCGTTAACCATATATTCCTTGAGTTAAAACAATAAGACTTTCATAATACCATTTTTCAATTTAGAGCTTCATGTTCGATATACAGGGCGACAAAGTTTGAAATTTAAAACTGATTTTTTTTTAATAATTCGAGTAATTGGTAAGATATTAAGTTTAAATTCGGTACACTACTTCAACATAAATAGTTACATTTTTGGAGACCAACAAAACAAAAAAACAATTGTCAAATAAACAAAATAGGGGGGTCCAGTACTCACTGACTCCCCCTATTTTTTAGTACGTGCGCCAATGACTTCCAAACGGTATTTTTTTAGGTAATCATTTATTGTTGAACATTTTTTGTATCTTATAAAATTTTGATAAAATGATTTGTTTTAGAGATAATTTGTAAAGTATGGGTCAGTCCATATCAAATTTTCAAAAATTAATTTTTTTTTTTGAAAAAATTTAGGTCATGTGATATATCATAAAAAAGGTCTCTAATAGGCCTTTAAAATAAGCCACCACTCACCTTTCTACTTTTAATAGTTTACGAGATATCGCTATTTTTGTAAGTACTTGCAAGACCCAAATTTATCGGAATTTTTGATTTTCAAAAATCAATAAAACAAAAGCCACCTATCGAAAAAAATTCATATATGGGATTTTTGAGTTTTTTAGTGAGGTAAACAAATTTACCAAAAATTATCAAAATCGGAGATGGTGGGGGAAGAACCTTTGGTTGATTTGATATGGACTGACCCATACTTTACAAATTATCTCTAAAACAAATCATTTTATCAAAATTTTATAAGAGACAAATTTTTTTTAACAATAAATGATTAACTAAAAAAATACCGTTTGGAAGTCATTGGCGCTCGTACTAAAAAATAGGGGGAGTCAGTGAGTACTGGACCCCCCTATTTTGATTATTTGACAATTGTTTTTTGTTTTGTTGGTCTCCAAAAATGTAACTATTTATGTTGAAGTAGTGTACCGAATTTAAACTTAATATCTTATCAATTACTCGAATTATTAAAAAAAATCAGTTTTAAATTTCAAACTTTGTCGCCCTGTATATCGAACATGAAGCTCTAAATTGAAAAATGGTATTATGAAATTCTTATTGTTTTAACTCAAGGAATATATGGTTAACGGATTGACCTCCTTTTCCCGGACACCCTGTATATATATATATACAAGGTGTCCCGTATCGTTATGTTCAAATTTTGAGAGCATAAAGTAGACTTATTTTCAGAAAGAAAACCCGCAAAACTTGTATATCAATTTTTATTTGAAGTATAATCCACAAAACAAAAAGTGGTCTGTGCTGGGTGTTCGACAAAGATTTTCCGACGTATTTTTTACCGCTGAACACGAATCTGAAGTCAAAATTGGGGGGTCAAACTGCAAAAAACGGAGAAAAATTAAAATAACCGATATTAGATAATGGATTTTATCGGTTTTTTTATTTTTCTTCGTTTTTTGCAGTTTGACCCCCAATTTTGACTTCAGATTCGTGCTCAGCGGTAAAAAATACGTCGGAAAATCTTTGTCGAACACCCAGCACAGACCACTTTTTTTTGTGGACCTGTGTAATTTAAAGGCCTGTAACTTTGAAACAAATAAAAATTGATATACAAGTTTTGCGGGTTTTCTTCCTGAAAATAAGTCTACTTTATGCTCTCAAAATTTGAACATAACGATACGGGACACCTTGTATATATATATATATATATATATATATATATATATATATATATATATATATATATAATGTAATTAAATGAATATTCCTTCGTTGAAAAATTTTTACTCAATGGGGCGGGGGGGGGCAATGGGACGGGGTCGGTTGGGTTGGGTTGTTGGGTTGGTTTCGAAGCGGGCGGACTCGGGACGTTGGTTAAGGAAAAAAGATCTGCTTCCCGTCTTAAGATTGCGTCATTGGATGACGTCACTCTGTTAACAGGAGCGCAATAGAGAACCGTCTGACGGGACTCTAGACACGGCGATCAATAATTTCTTTATTCCCTCCACTTTATTTCCGACTTAATTCAAACTGATTTCCCCGCACAGCATGTGCAGTATCGGAGAGGGGGGAGGAAAGCTCACTTTATGGTGAGTGAAGCAAAAAGAACGCGCACATTTGCAAATTTTACCGATTTGAGCTGAGATTAACTGAGATCTCAGGCGAAAAGAACGCACATATTATATATATATATATATATAATATATACAGGGTGTCCGCAAAAAAGAGGTCAATCCGTTAACCATATATTCCTTGAGTTAAAACAATAAGACTTTTATAATACCATTTTTCAATTTAGAGCTTCATGTTCGATATACAGGGCGACAAAGTTTGAAATTTAAAACTTATTTTTTTTAATAATTCGAGTAATTGATTAGATATTAAGTTCAAATTCGGTACACTTCTTAAACATAAATGGTTACATCTTTTGAGAACAACAAAGCAAAAAACAATTGTCAAATAAACAAAATAGGGGGGGTCCAGTACTCACTTTATTGTTAAAAAAAAATTGTCTCTTTTGATAAAATGATTTGTTTTAGAGATAATTTGTAAAGTATGGGTCAGTTCATATCAAATCAACCAAAGGTTCTTCCCCCACCATCTCCGATTTTGATAATTTTTGGTAAATTTGTTTGCCTCACTTAAAAACTCAAAAATCCCATATATGAATTTTTTTCGATAGGTGGTTTTTGTTCTATTGATTTTTGAAAATGAAATCCGATAAATTTGGGTCTTGCAAGTACTTACAAAAATAGCTATATCTCGTAAACTATTAAAAGTAGAAAGGTGAGTGATGGCTTATTTTAAAGGCCTATTAGAGACATTTTTTATGATAAATAACATGACCTAAATTTTTTCCAAAAATTTCCGAAAATTTGATATGGACTGACCCATACTTTACAAAGTATCTCTAAAACAAATCATTTTATCAAAATTTTATAAGAGACAAAAAATTTTCAACAATAAATGATTACCTGAAAAAATACTGTTTGATAGTCATTGGCGCACGTACTAAAAAATAGGGGGAGTCAGTGAGTACTGGACCCCCCTATTTTGATTATTTGAAAATTGTTTTTTGTTTTGTTGGTCTCAAAAAATGTAACTATTTATGTTGAAGTAGTGTACCGAATTTAAACTTAATAACTTATCAATTACTTGAATTATTAAAAAAAATCAGTTTTAAATTTCAAACTTTGTATATCGAACATGAAGCTCTAAATTGAAAAATGGTATTATGAAAGTCTTATTGTTTTAACTCAATGAATATATGGTTAACGGATTGACCTCCTTTTCCCGGACACCCTGTATATATATACATTAGGGTGTCCCAAAAAAAAAGAATATATTTTTTTTCTTGTCTCTTGTAAAAATATGTTAGTTAATCATGCTGTGAGAGCCCTTTCAAAATATCAGCTCGATTAAAAATTTTGTAGGGGTCGCTCAAGATTTTTAAAAATTTTCAAAATGGTCAAAAATTGAATTTTTGTTTTATTTTAATTCTTTTTCTCGTCTCGATATTATTTTTTAGGTTGAAAATAATAAAAATTCTGTAAATTTCAAACCAATATTTTGATTTCTAAAGGTCGCTAAAAGTTCGTTGATATTTATATTCAGAGGTCGCTCGAAAACATTCAAAATACTCTACTTTGAAAGTTAAAAAAATCTTGAGCGACCTTTAGAAATTAAAATATCGATTTGAAATTTTCAAAATCATTATTATTTTTAAATTAAAAAATAATATCGGAAAGAGAAAAAAAATTAAAATAAAAAAAAATCCAATTTTTAACGATTTTGGTAATTTTTAAAAATCTTGAGCGACCCCTAAAAATTTTTTAATGGTGCTGATCTTTTGACAGGGCTCTTAAAACATGACAAACCAACATATTTTCACAAGAGACGAGAAGAAAAAAAATATTCTTTTTTTTTGGGACACCCTAATATACATATTATTATAATCTTTTTTTAGATTTAAATATCAAATGATGAGCTTTAGGTTATAATTATGACATTTTTTTTTCAGTTGTTTAAGAAGGGAAGCGAAGAAAGCTGGATTTACACGAGTCCATTGGGCCAGAGGTTGGCCATGAGTCAAACATCGAAAACCTGAACCACCCAATAAAATAAAATTCGTTTTTTCTTTAATTATCGAAAAAATACTGTTCTTATCTTAATCTATTTTCTACCTTAACCAATGAACAATTTCTTTCTGATTTTATTAGTGAACTGTGATATATCAAGAGATGTACAGGAGTTTTTTATGCAGGGTGTTTTGTGGATTGTTAGTTTTTTGTTTCTGTGAGATTTACAAAACACTCTGTTTAAGTGAGGTGTTCAGTGACAAGGACTTTAATGCTTTTAGAACAAAAAGTTTTCTGTATCAAACAAGAATAAAAAAGTATTAAATAATTATCTATTGTTTTTAGATAACATTTTCAAAGCTTTTGGTATTAGGTCTGCTGCCGGCCAGCATTTATTTTTGTGTTAGATTTACCCTGTAATTTTATAGTCATGTTTTAACATTATTAATTTTGGTGGTTATATTTGAATTTATTTTTTATATTTTATATGTGACTTGCCTTTAAAAAAATAAAAAAAGGCAAATGGTAGTACAATCAGCTAAATTTTTATGTGACTTCCAATGAATTCCTAAATAAATGATATACACATATCAAGTTAAAATGCAGTTTTATTTCATTAAAAAATACCTAATCAATACAAATCAACACCTAATAATAAACAAAAATTAACCTACAGTAGTGGTATCCCTCTTCTCTATAAACCTCAACTGTTTTTTCCTTAGTTTCTTCAATTTCTTGGTATTTGTGATAACTTGAACAACTTCAGTCTTCAGCCTATTTTCTTCCTGTCTTTTTAAATTGTCCCTTCTCCTCTGCTTTTTTAACTCTTTTTCAGCCTCTTTTTCTGCTTTAAGCGCCTTTGATGCCTCTTTAACCTGCTTCAGTTTCTCACGAAGTTGCTGTTTCTTTTCAAAAGAGTTTCTTATACCTTTTGTTTTAATTATGGAGGAAAACCGTTTTCTTTCAGTTTTCCATACTCTACCCGACTTGGGTTTACCTTTTACCACAAAATCAGTTCTGTAAATTACAAAAAAACATTGTTTATAAATGTCAAAATTATAAAGAAAAACTTACGTTAATTTTTTTACTTCATTGGCTTCAGTGCGTTTTTCTTCAGTTTTTTCCTGTTTTACGGGCTTTGTTTTGCCTACAATCTCCTCTAAAGTCCTCACTTTTGCCTTCATTTTAAAATAAACACATGGACTACCACCTAACCTCAAAACACGTAGGCAACGTTGTCAAGTTTATCACCAGTGCTGCCAACTTGCGAAAAAACAATAATCGTACGGAAAACCAAAAAAAATCGTATTTTAACCAGGGTTGTGAACCGGTCCAAGATCGCTTGTTTGTTACGGACCGGTCCGTACCCAAAATAAACAAGTAATAATTCTGGACCGGTCCATGGACCGTTCCGTTTTTAAAATTACTTGGACCGGTACAAATTTTGGACCGAACCGTTTTCAAGTGTTTTGGAGCGGTACTGGACCGGTTTAAACAATTTGAACCGGTCCAAACATTTGTATTATTAGATTATTTCCACTCCTATTTCATATTATTGACATTATTATTATTACTGTGATTTGAACCAATCGGGTTTTAAATTGGAAAAAGTGAGATTGGAACTAACAGATGTCAGATTTTTTATATATTATATGGGTCATTCCACCAAATAAAGTTTTTTTTTGTTGGCCCTCGCGGATTTTTGAAGTGAAACTTTAAACGCGCGCAAAGGGATAACTGCTCTAAACCCAATTTTCATATAATAATATACATATAATAATTTCGTAATAGGTACACAGTACGTGCTGGTATAAGTATATATAAATGGCGTCCACGCCAGGTCGGGTTGTCCTCCGTGACATAGTTCTTTCTTAAATAGGACACTTTAAATTCTAAAATTTGGCGAAATGGCTTTTAGCAACGTTGCCAGGTTTTTTGATAGCCGTCCAAGACAGTTTTTTTGTCAGGGACCGTGCATATTAAACAGTATTACATACATATTTAAATTTTAATTAATCATTATGTATTCGCATTATTGCGCAGTGTGTACCAGATGTTTTTTTATGCGCAGTAGGTACCAGATGGTTGGGTCCATGCGCAGTAAGCACCAGGGTGGTTTTATGTGTGCGCACTGTGTACCAAATGATTTGATCTATGCGCAGTGGGTACGAGATTATTATGTATATGCGCAGTAAGTACCCGGTGGTGGTTTCCATGCGTAGTTGGTACCAGGTGGTTTATTTTTTTGCGCAGTAGGTACCAGATGGTTGGATCCATGCGCAGTAAGTACCAGGTGGTTTTATGTGTGCGCAATTTGTACCAAATGATTTGATCTATGCGCAGTGGGTACGAGATTATTGTGTCTATGCGCAGAAGGTACCAGGTGATAGTTTTTATGCGTAGTGGGTACCAGGTGGTGGTTTCCATGCGCATTAGATACCAGTTGGTTTTATGTGGGCGCAGTGGGTACCAAATTAAAAAAACAAATATCGTCAAAATTCGAAAAATAATTACTATAGTTAATATTAACAGCTCAAATCTTCAGAATCTATAGAAATGTTTAATGATTAATTATTAAAAAAAACCTAAATACTATCAATATAATAAGTTATTCACGAGAAAGCGATTTTCCGAAAATTTTAATTATTTTCTGAAATTTTTTTGTAATTGGTAAAATAAATATGAGTACATTAGATGCAAAACTCGGTTTTTGCACATTTTAAAAAAATATATATTTTATCTTATTTATGATCATAACTGCACTGCCCACAGCATAACTAAGTAAACCAGATGCATAAGTTAATATTTGTAGAATAAAATACATTTATAAACTTACCGCAGCTGCAAAACTGGGTATTTGTCGGATGCAAAACTCGGTATTTGACCAATCACCAATCACGTCGCTAGTATACGCATTAACTGACGGCATAACAATCACCTGATTAATTGTTATTTTTTTGGTATTTGCACTTATCACTTGCAAAACTTGGTCTTTGAACGAGGAAGATGCAAAACTATGTTTTTTAAATCTTTTGATTTCAATTATTTACTAAACTACTTAATTTTAAAGGACTTTTTTTTACTTTTTTGAATAAGAAATGATGCAAAAGCACGTCTATACTATTTTTGTATTTTTTTTTCAAATATGACCTTATGAGCGGTTTTTCGTGTTTTTCTTAAAATCACTTATCCTGCAAATACAGAGTTGTGCATCTAATGTACTCATATAAAAATCTAACGTGGAATGATAAATCTAACATTATTTCTAGGGGGACAAATTTTAATGTACGTTTCATGAAAAAATTAAGTAAATTAAGTGAAAAAACAATAATGTTTTTTTTACAATTATTGTAAATCAACGAGAAATACGCTCAAATTGATTCTCTCCATTTTCCGTTGTTCACAATGGCAACTGTCAAAATGACAGGTGTCAAAATAAAGGCTGTCAAAATGGCGGAAGTGTGGAAATAACAGCTATAAAAATTAGTGATGATAAAATGGCAGTTGCCCAAATGACAGCTGTCAAAATAAGTTGTAAAAATAACTGGTGATAAAATGACAGGGGCCCAAATAACAGCTATCAAAATGACAGGAGCCCAAATAAAAACTGTCAAAATGATAGGTGCCGAAATGAGCTGTCAAAATGACAGTTGCTGAAAAAACGTTATCCGAGCAAAGCTATTGAATAAATCACCTTTAGCTAGTGAATCACCATTTATAAGATTTGTAGCAATCCTAATCCACATTTGCTCCATGAGACCCACAAAAAAGTTGATTAAACAATTTTTTTTGTTTTTCTCTTAATTTACCTAGTTTAAAAAACTGACCAACAGATTTATGAGAAAATTACAGTATCTTATTAAGAATTAAAAGACCTTTAAAACGATATCACTTAAACCCCCGTGCAATTTAAGATTTTGGGGGCGGGTGGGGTAGAGCGCGTAGGGGTGCGGGTGGGTTCGTACAATAAAATGTCTCCCTTTACAAAAAAAAATTGACGTGCCACATTCACCCTTTAAAACGTTTGGGAGGATACGTTTTCGTTTGTTCGGACCGGTCCATGGACCGTGGACCGGACCGTTTTTGGCGGTCCACACTGTCAATGTTCCAAAACGGACCGGTTCAGTCGAACCTATTTTTGCTGGACCGGTCCAACACAAACGGTCCACAAACGGTCCGGTTACATGGACCTTTTTTGGAACTGAACCGCTGGCGAACCGGTCCATGGACCGAAATTTTGTTACGGTTCACAACCCTGATTTTAACTGTAAAAATCGTACACCACTTTTTATTAAATAAAAGTTTTATTTGATAAAAAGTGGTGTACAATTTTTACAGGTAAAATACGATTTTTTTATAAAACAGAATTAAAATTTAAAAATACAAAATATAAAAGAAAATAATTTTAATTTAAGTTTTTCGTTCTGGTATTTAAATTTATTGTTTAAAGTTGGGAAATTTCAAATACTTAAAAATATATGTAATAAACAATGGTTTACCTACTATACGTCCTAATAGGACGGTCCTATCCTATCCTGTCTATCAAAGTAAGGCGTTGTTTCTATCACACTGAATATATTCAGTGTGATAGAAACAAGTTATTCTTTGCAAAGTCATTTTATTAAGTATTACAAAAAAAAACTTGAGTCTTAGAACGAGGAACATCAATATTGATGAAGTAACTGGTCAACTTATTGATCTTAATTTAATATTTTAATTTGCAAATAGTATTTCTTCTTCATCACCTTTATTTGTATCGTTACTATAAATCTGCATCACGCGCAGCGCCAAACCGCTGGCGAAAAATTTCTGCAAACCAGTTTTTTTGTAGATGCAATAAAATACTTTTTACAGGTGGTGGAAGAAACATAAAATGGTATTGGACCAATACTATTGGTCATAGAAAACCCCGAAGGGGTAAATTTTATTTTTTCACTTCTTGTTAGCAGCACTGAAAATCTAAACATGATCGCAATGTTGCCTAATTCATTTTCGGGGCAAAATAATTCGGTTTTCAAAGATGCAACTAAAAGTAGTAAATTTATTAACTTTCGAAAATACAAAGAACTCCTATAAGACGAAAAATCGTATTTATGCGTACGATTTGACATAATGAATCGTACATCGTACCGACATGAAGATAATCGTACAAATACGATTAAAATCGTACGGTTCACAACAGGGTTGCCAAATATTTTTGACTGTAGGAGCCATGTTGCTTCCAATGCGGCTACTTTTATTTATAAGGTTGGCTCAGCCAACGTAAAGCCTAATTTATAGTTTGAGGAAGGCAATCTATAAATCAGGCTTTTCCATTTTTTATCACTGTCGCCAACTTAATTTTTTAATCCATAGGAAATTTTGTGTTGGCGACTGCACAAAACTAGTTTTCTGGGCGACAACTGTCATCTTGACGTTTTTTATGTTCTGTACACGTAAAGTCCGTTATCTGTGTAATTTAGGTGTCTTTTAAGTGTGTGATTCCGTATATTCGGAATGGGGGACTCTTTAGAGGCGTCAGAAACGGCGCCGGAGAGCCAGAACGTGGCGATAGTTGAAATAAACGCTTTTACCAATTTTATTCTAAAAGCCGCAACGGTTTTACTACCCGAAGATGACGGTCAGGCCGAACCGACAAACTTAAGCTCTTCTTTAGACGATAAAACTAATCAGGAGTTTATCAAGAAGTTTCTAAGCGACCCGCAAGTGCAGACTTTGTACATCCAGAGGAATTCCTCCAAAGGTGATGTCATTTTTTGTTAGTCAACCATTTTACCTTGAACTTAAAAAACACCTGTTTTTTTACGGGTGTTTGCAAAGAACACATTAAATGTCTAATATTAATTTATTTATCAGATGATGATAATGATCAGCCCCCAGAAGGTGAGGAGGAAAAGGAGCCTGTCACTTACTATGTTTGCAATGAGGTTCATTATTCAAGTTCCAAAATGTCATCCTTGGTTTGCATTAAACGTGGGGCTGTGGTTGAGGCTGATAAAAGCATCAGGGCTCAAGTAAGGCTGTTGAATTTTAGCGATGGATCTCCCTACGAAATTTTGCATTCCTATGTTAGCAAATCAGTGGCTCCTTTCTTTAAGTCTTATGTTAAGGAGAGTGGAAGAGCAGATAGGTAATAATTTTTTAAAATAAAAACGTTCTGTTTTATAAAACTAATTTTTACACAATTTTTAATATTAACAGTAAATAAATAGGGTTTCATTTTTATTTAAGGAAGGCATATAGAAACAATGCAATTTATTAATTTATTCTAATAATGTAAATAGGTATTTCAAATATATTTTTATATTAGAATAAAATATTTAACTTTAATTTTCTTTAAAGAGCAGAGCTGTCAGAAAAAAGTTACTGTATCTTAGTTCCTTTATTTTTTTAACAAAAAATATCTTAGATATGGAAAGTATCTTAGTTACTGAAAAGTAATTTATATGTATATTAAAAAGTAGCTAAGTTACCGCAAGAAATGTTCCTTTAGACAAGTTACAATATGAAAAAATGTTTTAGACAAAATCTAACTATTTTAAGTCGAATGATCAGAATCTGCAATAAAAAATAGGGTGTTCCATTGGAAATTTTAAAGTTACCCCCTGTTCCCCCTATGAGGACCAATTTTAGTACAGTTTGATTTCCCCCCTCGAATCATTTAATTTTTATTTTAAACATTTTTTCGTAAAATGCATACTAACTGAGATATTTTAAAGTTTCAATTTAAATGACTCACCCTGTTTATATACCGTACCTTCATTTGCTAACCATAGGGAAAATACATTGTAACTGGACCAGATAAGTCGCAGTCAACACAAAGCGAGAACCTTTTCAGAAATTATTTGGATGCGTCGTCGAGACATGCGTACTAAAACAAATTTTACCAGATTTACACCGCACAAAATAAAAAACAATAATAAAGCATCGATGTATGAAGCAAGGTCAACTGTTACGGCGCATACTAGCCTACTCGTCCACGCGTCCAAATCATTTCTACAACGTTTTTCGCTTCGTGCTGACTAAGACTCATCTGGTCCAGTTACAATGTATTTTCCCTATGGTTAGCTTGCAAATGAAGGTACGGTATATATATTAGAGTGAAATAACATGTTGTATGTAATACACCTCGTTATATCAATTTTTAGGTTAGATATATCTTTTTTCTTTAAAGTTATGTTATTAATAATTATGCTAGATTGTTTGAGTTATTTATTTTTCTCTAATCACCCGACTGTAGAAAAAACGTAATTACATGAAATTTTACTGATAAACAATTGAAAATCATCATTTATAAAAAGTTTGATACGAAAATCCTAAAAATTTCATAAATTGTCAATGTAAACGCTTTATATCTCAAGAAATATCAATCTTAGCGATTCAACTGATAGGACCTTTTTTAAAAAAAATTAAATTTTCTACAAGTTTGTTTTTTACATTTTTTCAAAGAATCCATTCACTTTTAAAATATCTTCAAAAATATGATAATTTTTCACTAAAATAGGATTTAGTGACCCGTACCATCCTACATGTGCAGATTACAGCTATGACACATAAAGCATTTTTGTAGAACTTTTGATTACGAGTAAATCCTTTTTTGAAACAATCCAATAGCATAAAATGCGGCTGAGATATAGATATTTAAAAAAAAATAATTAAAGTTTACGTGTATTTTAAATGGGAAATCTTTATACGCTTTGGTCGAGTACTTTGAGTTAATATTAAGGGCTCAAATTTTCCGGGAATTTTTTTTGGAACATTTTCAACAAGATTTTGAGTTGGGAGCGAAAAAATAAAAATTGTCGTGAAAAAAAAATCACCCTAATATATATATATATTATTTCGTACCTATGTTCAGTATATTTAAAACATTTAAAAAAAATTTAGGCAGATTTAAAAACGTAAAAAAAATTTAAAATAGTTTTAGGAAAATCTTAATTTAAGATTCGTAAAACAGTTTCAAGACAGTTCAAATTTTCGGAAAATAGTTTTTACATTGTATAAAATAGTTTTGAAACACGCTTGAAAAGGACAAATTTATTTTAAAATCGGTTTTATCACAGTCTGGGGGTTTTAGGACAATTTTATTATACTTTTAAAACACAGTTTTTGGATATTTTAAATTATGGAGTCATTGGGATATTTTTAAAACTGCTATTATAACGTTTTAGGACATTTAATTTGTATAAGTAAAAAATATATTAATTTTTACTGCAGCACAGTGGCCCCTATCCCTAAAAAGCTTGCCAAAAGATTTTAAAAATGTTTTTTAAAAATTCGTAAATGAAAATCCAAAATGAAAAAAAAAATAAATCGTTTAAAAATGTTATTTTTAAGGGTTTTTATTAATTAAATTCATAATTTCAAAACAGTATATTAAAATTGGCCGAAATATTAAAAAAATTCTTGTATTTGATTTAAAATTTAAAGTGTTTTCCTTATTGCTAAATTGACGAAAAAATGTGTACATTAAAATTGGCGGATCTAAAACTTTAGTTTAATAAATTATTAGATACCATTTAAATTTTTGATCAGATGTTTTTTTGTGCTGAAATAAATAAATAAATAAATTAAATCAGATTCGATCGAAAATTTGCAAGTAAAGTGTTTTTGTGGCCATGCGAAAGAAGTTACAATCCTAGACCACTATTAATAAATAAATCGGAATTTCCGATTCGGAAACAGACACTAATCATAAACTGCAATCCCTTCAATGCGCCTAATAATAAGTACGTATTTTCGTGACGCGGTGATTTCGAACATTGGTGACTTTACGCTTACGTAAAAGATCAGAAAAGAGATGCAGCTTACCGACACTTTGGAATTATTTATACTCTTGCCCTCTGTATTAAACGAGATATTACTAAATTAAAAATTCAGTCCTCATTTTTACCGCCAGCTTTTTCGGGATCGGGACCATTGTGTGGAGTTACAAATAATAAAATTTATATTTAATTTCAACTTTTTTGTAAGAAAACATCCCTCTTTTTATTAGAGATGGCGACAAAATGGCGCCTGCAGTCGAAAAAACAATCGCCGAACTGGAAATGGGTCTTTTACACCTTCAACAGAACATCGACATCCCGGAAATTTCTCTACCTGTGCACCCATACGTGGCCAGCTTGATAAAGCAGTGCGCCGACGAGGGCCGCAAACCCAAAGTCGCCGATTTCAGCGACAAAGTGGAAGATTCAAACTTTTTAAACCAGCTGCAACACGGCGTTAACAGATGGATTAAGGAGATTCAAAAGGTGACCAAGTTGGATAGGGATCCATCGTCGGGGACAGCGTTGCAGGAGATTAGTTTCTGGTTGAATTTGGAAAGGGCGCTTCATAGGATACAGGAGAAGAGGGAGAGTATGGAGGTGGCTTTGACGTTGGATATTTTGAAGCACGGGAAGAGATTCCATGCTACCGTATCGTTCGATACTGATACAGGGTTAAAGCAAGCCATAGCTACAGTTAACGATTATAATCCGTTGATGAAGGATTTCCCTATCAACGATCTTTTGGCGGCCACTGAGTTGGAGAGAATTCGTGCTTCTGTGCAACTGATATTCGCGCATTTACGTAAAGTGAGATCAACGAAATACCCCATACAGCGATGCTTACGTCTGGTCGAAGCTATCTCACGTGATGTGGGAGCCCAGCTACTCAAAGTCTTGGGTACAAGGCGTCTAATGCACATTCCGTTCGACGAATTCGAAAAAGTAATGACACATTGCTTCGACGTGTTCGCCATCTGGGAGGACGAATACGAAAAACTACAGGCCTTACTTCGCGACATAATGAAGAAGAAACGTGACGAGCACATCAAGATGGTTTGGCGCATAGCTGCGCACCACAAGAAGCTCCAAAACCGCATGGAGCAGATGCGAAAGTTCCGCCGACAGCACGAGCAGCTTCGTACTGTTATAGTGCGCGTTTTACGCCCTACAGTGCGCGAAGCTGCAGCTACCGCTGAAGGCGAAGAGGAGCCAGCAAAACCGACGTTCTCCCTTGATGCAGCTGATGCTAACGCTATCGAGGAGGTAAATTTAGCGTATGAAAACGTGAAAGAAGTTGATTGTTTGGATATCTCCAAGGAAGGTCAGGATGCTTGGGATGCAGCTGTGCAGCGCTACGAAGAGCGCATTGATAGAGTCGAAACTCGCATCACAGCCCATCTTAGAGACCAATTGGGAACGGCTAAAAATGCCAATGAGATGTTCAGGATTTTCTCTCGCTTCAACGCTCTATTTGTAAGGCCGCATATTAGAGGCGCCATACGCGAATACCAAACTCATTTAATTCAAAGAGTAAAGGATGATATTGAGGCTCTGCACGAGAAGTTTAAGGTTCAATACCCACAAAGTAACAGCGCTAGAATCAGTAAAGTGAGAGATTTACCTCCAGTGGCGGGCTCTATAGTGTGGGCCAAACAAATCGACCATCAACTTACAACTTACCTTAGAAGAGTGGAAGATGTTTTGGGTAAAGGTTGGGAGAACCACATCGACGGTCAGAAGCTTAAAGCCGATGGAGACAGCTTCAGGTTAAAGCTGAACACCCAGGAAATCTTCGATGACTGGGCGAGAAATGTTCAACAGAGGAATTTGGGCGTATCAGGAAGAATTCTTACCATTGAAGCTGTTAGGTATGTTATATAATGTTCAACCTGCATAAAGCATACTATTTTCTTGTAAATTTAGGTCAAGAAATGGCAGAGGCAATGTCTTGAAGCTGAAAGTAAACTTCCTCCCGGAAATCATTACTTTAGCCAAAGAAGTGCGTAACTTAAAATGCCTGGGCTTCAGAGTACCTCTTGCAATCGTCAATAAAGCCCATCAAGCTAATCAACTTTATCCCTTTGCTATTTCCCTAATTGAAAGTGTCAGGACATACGAAATGACTTTGGAAAAGGTAAGCATACATTTTGAACCCATTTTATCTGAATTACTAGCGGTTACTATTCAATATATACGAGTTTAATACTTATAGCACTTTATTTAAATTAGCTGACAAACAGGACTAGCACTCAAAGTGGTGTGAAGGTAGTTAAATAACTCCCTAAAGCATGGTTGTATACATCAAACAGCATGCCAATTGTATAAGCTACATTCCCCCTCTCTAGATATATACAGAATATTATATATAGCATGTAATTTACAATATTTAAAATGTTTTTGACAGTATTTCGTTTATTTAGATCGAAGATAAAGCCAGCATAATACCGTTGGTAGCCGGTATGCGCAAGGAAGTCCAACAATTGATCGCCGATGGAATACAGTTAGTCTGGGAGAGTTATAAGTTGGACCCCTACGTCCAAAAACTGTCCGACACAGTTGTAAGTTTTCAGGAACGCGTTGAAGAGCTCGTTATCGTTGGAGAGCAATTGGATGTTGATGTGAGATCACTGGAAACTTGCCCATACTCAGCAAACACTTTTGCAGACATTTTATCGAAAATACAACACGCCGTTGATGATTTATCGTTAAAGCAATACTCGAATTTGCATATTTGGGTGACAAGACTCGATGAGGAAGTGGAGAAAAATTTGTCGCGACGTTTACAAGCCGGCGTGGAAGCGTGGACAGACGCTCTAAACGGCCAAAAGAAGGAAATCGACCACAGTATGGATACAGATGCGCCGGCTCAACCAACGCACAAACCAGGCGGTGATCCGCAGATTCAAGTCGTAGTGCACGAAGTCAGAATCACAAATCAAACAATGTATTTGTATCCCAGTATAGAAGAAGCTAGATTCCAAATAATGCAGCAGTTATTCGCCTGGCAAGCTATCGTAACGTCGCAACAAAGGTTACAGAGCAGTAGGTACCAAGTTGGAGTGGATAAACCTGTTACAGAAACCTACAGAAACATTCTGACAAAGCTACCTGGCGGTCCGGTACCTTTAAACAACGCCTATGAAGCTATAGCCGGTAAAACCAAGGAAATACAGAAATACGTCAACGAGTGGCTAACGTATCAGTCCTTGTGGGACCTCCAAGCCGATAATCTCTATGGAAACCTTGGGGAAGATATCAACAAATGGATGGTTTGTCTCAACGACATAAAGAAAACAAGAACCACATTCGACACATCTGATACACGACGTGAATTCGGCCCTGTTGTCATAGATTTCGCAAAAGTACAGAGCAAAGTGTCACTAAAATACGACTCTTGGCATAAAGAAACCTTAAGTAAGTTTGGTACTTTACTAAGCAACGAAATGGCGACCTTCCATACCAACGTATCGAAATCCAGATCAGATTTAGAGCAGCAAAGCATCGAAGCCGCTAGCACATCGGACGCTGTGACTTTCATTACATACGTTCAGCAGCTGAAGAGGAACATGAAAGCCTGGGAAAAACAGGTGGAAGTGTACAGGGAAGGTCAACGAATCCTGGAAAGGCAAAGATTTCAATTCCCCACAAGCTGGCTTCACGTCGAAAACCTCGAAGGAGAGTGGGGTGCTTTCAACGAAATCATCAAAAGGAAGGATTCCTCCATACAAACCCAAGTTGCTAGCTTGCAACAGAAGATTGTCTCTGAAGACAAGGCTGTTGAAAGTCGCACCAATGACTTCTTAGTCGACTGGGAGAAGAGCAAACCCGTAGAAGGACATTTGAAACCTGACGAAGCCTTACAACAACTCCAATTATTCGAAAGCAAATTCACCAGATTGAAGGAAGAAAGGGATAACGTTGCTAAAGCTAAGGAAGCTTTGGAGTTACAAGAACCAGGCGGTATCAGCACTAGTGAAGATAGAATGCAAGTGGTGTTCGAGGAGTTGCAAGATTTGCGTGGAGTGTGGTCGGAATTGAGCAGAATCTGGACGCAAATCGACGAAACCAGAGAAAAACCGTGGTTATCGGTGCAACCAAGAAAATTGCGTCAACAATTAGACGCTATGTCTTCGCAGTTGAAAGAACTACCAGCAAGGCTACGCCAATATGCTTCGTATGAGTACGTAAAGAAAACTCTGCAGACTTATACGAAAGTTAACATGATGATTGTCGAACTGAAATCGGACGCCCTTAAGGAGCGCCACTGGAAGCAACTAATGAAGCAATTAAGAGTTAACTGGGTGTTATCTGATTTAACTCTAGGACAAGTATGGGATGTAAACCTACAGAAAAACGAGTCCATAGTCAAGGATATAATTCTTATTGCACAAGGTGAAATGGCGCTGGAAGAATTCTTGAAGCAAGTTCGCGAATCATGGCAAACCTACGAGTTGGACTTAATCAACTATCAAAACAAATGCAAGCTCATTAGAGGCTGGGACGATTTGTTTAATAAAGTTAAAGAACACATCAACTCCGTAGCAGCCATGAAGCTATCGCCTTACTACAAAGTTTTTGAGGAGGAAGCACTAACGTGGGAAGAAAAGTTAAACAGAATCAACGCGTTGTTTGATGTTTGGATTGATGTGCAACGCAGATGGGTTTACCTTGAAGGTATCTTCTCTGGAAGTGCTGACATCAAGACTCTTCTCCCAGTAGAAACATCCAGATTCCAGAGCATCAGCTCTGAATTTTTGGGCCTAATGAAGAAGGTTTCCAAGTCGCCGATGGTTATGGACGTTCTTAACATACCCGGTGTGCAAAGAGCTCTTGAAAGGCTTGCAGATTTATTGGGCAAAATCCAAAAAGCACTTGGAGAGTATTTGGAAAGAGAGCGTACCTCATTTCCACGATTCTACTTCGTCGGTGACGAAGACTTACTTGAAATCATTGGTAACAGCAAAAACATCGCGAGATTACAAAAGCACTTCAAGAAAATGTTTGCCGGTGTTGCCGCCATCATTCTAAACGAAGACAACAATGTAATTAAAGGTATAGCTTCCAGAGAAGGCGAGGAAGTACCATTTGGAAAAGCTGTTTCAACCGTTGAGCACCCGAAAATCAACGAATGGTTAACTTTGGTCGAGAAAGAAATGCGCGTTACCCTAGCTTCGAGTTTAGCTCAGTCCGTACAAGATATAAAACAGTTTAAAGACGGTATAGATCCTAAACTGTACATGGAATGGGTCGACAAATATCAAGCGCAAATTGTGGTACTGGCAGCGCAAATATTGTGGAGTGAAGACGTTGAAGCCGCTCTAGTTAAAATGAATGGAGAACCTCAAAAAGGGGTTTTAGAGAAGGTTCTGCAACAAGTTGAGAACACTTTAAATGTTCTGGCTGACTCCGTACTGCAAGAACAACCTCAATTGCGCAGAAAGAAGTTGGAGCATTTGATTAACGAGTTCGTACACAAAAGAACCGTCACTAGAAGGCTTATCGCCAACGGAGTTTGCAGTAATAAGTCCTTTGAGTGGCTTTGCGAAATGCGGTTCTATTTCGACCCCAGGCAAACCGAAGTGCTAAAACAGTTAACAATCCACATGGCAAATGCCAAATTCTACTACGGATTTGAGTACCTAGGTGTACAAGACAGACTTGTACAAACACCGCTTACAGATAGATGCTACCTTACGATGACGCAAGCACTGGAGGCGAGGCTGGGTGGTTCGCCATTCGGTCCAGCAGGAACCGGTAAAACCGAGTCGGTTAAAGCGTTGGGTAACCAATTGGGACGATTCGTGTTGGTGTTTAACTGCGACGAGACGTTCGATTTCCAAGCCATGGGCAGAATCTTCGTCGGTCTTTGCCAAGTGGGCGCGTGGGGTTGCTTCGACGAATTCAACAGATTGGAGGAGAGGATGTTGTCGGCTGTTTCGCAGCAAGTGCAAACGATACAAGAAGCGTTAAAATCACAAAAGGAATCGGCTTTGGAAGGAAAAACCACAGGCAGTATAAGTGTTGAGTTGGTTGGAAAACAAGTCAGAGTGTCGCCTGATATGGCCATTTTCATCACCATGAATCCTGGTTATGCTGGAAGATCAAATCTGCCTGACAACTTAAAGAAACTCTTTAGATCACTAGCTATGACAACGCCAGACAGACAGTTGATTGCAGAAGTAATGCTGTTCTCACAAGGTTTCAGAACAGCCGAGAAATTAGCCTGCAAAATCGTACCATTCTTCAAACTATGCGACGAACAACTATCAAACCAATCTCACTACGACTTTGGTCTAAGAGCATTAAAATCAGTGCTGATATCAGCCGGTAACGTTAAAAGAGATCGCATACAGAAAATTAAAGATGAGAAGATCCAAAGAGGTGAGACAAACATTGATGAAGCCAGTATTGCTGAGAATTTACCTGAACAAGAGATTTTAATACAATCAGTCTGTGAGACAATGGTACCCAAATTGGTTGCTGAAGATATCCCGTTATTGTTTAGCTTGCTGAATGATGTGTTCCCCAATGTACAATATACCAGGGCTGAAATGAAAGGTATAAAATCAAACTTTAATTATTATGGGTTAATTAAATATTGTTTTATAGGTCTTAAGGATGAAATCAGGAAAGTGTGCGCTGAAGAATACCTGGTTTGCGGTGAAGGCGATGAACAAGGCTCACACTGGATGGAAAAGGTAATTTTAACTGTTTTATACATATTGTATTACCTTTAAATGTTTGCACTCTTAACATTTCATGCTGCACAGAAAGGAGAAACTTGGGTTTCAAAGGTACATGCTTTAACATTTCACATTCATTCAGTTCCATTTTATAATATAATGATATATAACACTGTAACTGTAACTACATCACTTAAATTTTTAGTTCACGTGATATAATATATGAATAATTAAAAAAAAAAATGTAAATTTTGCTTAATTATAAACTTGGTTCACTTCAATGTTTCAAAACTTTTTTATTGGTAAACATTTTTAAATTTTATAAATAAAACATGAAATTTGAATAAGATATGAAACATCAGTTTAGATTTTCTCATTTGTAAAAAGACCTAAATTGTGTTTTTGGCCGTTCTCGGGCGATTCTAGTCCACCGTGCTACGAGTCGTTCGTTCAAGGAAAAAAAAATTTTTTCCACAAATTAAAAATTACGAAATTGTAGAAAAAATATTTTACCTAACACACGCGCAATGTGTCTTTTCCGCACTTGACTGATGACCGAACTCCGCTACGGGTCGTTCGTTCAACGGCAGTCGCGTGCGGAAAAGTAGCACTTTTCGCTCTAGTTAGTTGGAAAAATAACTATATTATACTCTATTACAACACGATTTTCTTAGGTTTTGCAACTGTACCAAATCTCCAATCTCAACCATGGCTTGATGATGGTTGGCCCCAGCGGATCTGGTAAAAGTACCGCCTGGAGGGTTTTACTTAAAGCCCTGGAAAGGTTTGAAGGTGTAGAGGGAGTTGCTCATGTTATCGATCCTAAAGCTATCAGTAAGGAAGCTTTGTATGGTGTTTTGGATCCAAATACTCGAGAATGGACTGATGGTCTCTTTACTCACATCTTAAGGTAAGATTCTTAACTATCAAAAGGGTTTTTTTATAGAAAAACATTGACTTATTCTAGAAAAATCATTGATAACGTTCGCGGCGAAATTAACAAACGCCAGTGGATTATATTCGATGGCGATGTGGACCCAGAATGGGTAGAAAATTTAAATTCAGTTCTTGACGATAACAAACTATTAACTCTTCCAAACGGTGAACGTTTATCACTTCCACCAAACGTACGAATCATGTTTGAAGTGCAAGACTTAAAATACGCCACTCTAGCTACAGTATCGCGTTGTGGTATGGTTTGGTTCTCTGAAGATGTACTTTCTACAGAGATGATTTTCGAGAATTATATGTTAAGATTAAAGAGTATTCCTCTGGAAGAGGGTGAGGATGATAGTTTTGGAATGAAGAACGAGAAAAACGAAGACATGTTATCACCATCACTTCAAATACAAGTTGATGTTGCTAATATGATGCAAGCATACTTTGCTTCAGACGGTTTGGTGGTAAGATGCTTAGAGCACGCCATGGAGCAAGAACACATAATGGATTTCACGAGATTGAGAGCTCTAAGTTCGTTATTTTCCATGTTGAATCAATCCGTGAGGAATATTTTGCAATATAATCACGCTCATTCCGATTTTCCGATGTCCAATGATCAAATGGAGCGTTATATACCGAAATGCTTAGTGTATAGTTTACTCTGGTCATTTGCTGGGGATGCTAAATTAAAAGTTCGTTCAGATTTGGGTGATTTCTTACGTTCGGTTACTACAGTTCCACTACCGGCGGATCCTAGTGCTTCGATAATCGATTTTGAGGTTAACATTGATGGGGAATGGTCTCCATGGTCTAACAAGGTTCCACAAATTGAAGTGGAGACTCATAAAGTTGCATCTCCAGATATTGTGGTACCTACTTTGGATACAGTAAGGCACGAATCCCTTTTGTATACTTGGTTGGCTGAACACAAACCTCTTGGTAAGTAATAATCAGCAATATCTTTGAAGTGATTTTAATTTCATCATTTTAGTACTGTGTGGTCCTCCTGGTTCTGGTAAAACAATGACACTATTCTCCGCTCTAAGGGCATTACCCGATATGGAAGTAGTAGGTCTTAACTTTTCATCAGCCACAACTCCAGAGTTGCTGTTGAAAACATTCGATCATTATTGCGAATACAGAAAAACACCCAACGGTGTTGTGTTAGCCCCAGTACAGGTAAATTATTTTATATTTATTTTCCTTTGCACACAGCTTAATACTTAATCTTGTAATAGCTCGGTAAATGGTTGGTATTATTCTGCGACGAAATCAACTTACCAGATATGGACAACTACGGAACCCAACGCGTAATAATGTTCCTACGTCAAATAGTCGAACAAAAAGGTTTCTACCGCGCTTCCGATCAAACCTGGGTATCTCTCGAACGTATTCAATTTGTGGGCGCTTGTAATCCGCCTACAGATCCAGGCAGAAAGCCTTTATCGCACAGATTTCTTCGTCATGTACCAGTAGTATACGTGGATTACCCTGGTGAAACTTCTTTGAAGCAGATCTACGGTACTTTTACGAGAGCGATGTTAAGGTTAACACCAGGTTTAAGAGGTTATTCGGAACCGTTGACAAACGCCATGGTGGAGTTTTATTTGGCGTCACAAGACAGATTTACTCAAGATATGCAGCCTCACTACGTGTACTCACCTCGTGAGATGACTCGATGGGTTAGAGGAATTTGCGAGGCTATCAGACCTCTGGATAATTTGCCAGTTGAAGGTTTGGTGAGGTTGTGGGCTCATGAAGCCTTAAGGCTTTTCCAGGACAGGCTTGTTGAAGATACTGAACGTCGATGGACCAATGAAAACATAGATGCTGTGGCATTAAAACACTTCCCATCCGCAAACTGCGAAAACGCCTTGGAAAGACCAATACTATATAGTAATTGGTTGAGTAAGGATTACATACCGGTAGATAGAGAACAATTAAGGGAGTATGTAAAGGCAAGACTTAAGGTTTTCTATGAAGAAGAATTGGATGTTCCTTTGGTGTTGTTCGATGAAGTTCTCGATCATGTACTAAGAATTGACAGGATTTTTAGGCAGCCACAAGGTCATTTACTTTTGATCGGGGTGTCTGGAGCTGGAAAAACGACTCTTTCCAGATTCGTAGCCTGGATGAACGGCTTGAGCATCTTCCAGATTAAAGTACACAACAAATATACCGCTGAAGATTTCGATGAAGATTTAAGATCAGTATTGAGAAGAAGCGGTTGTAAAGACGAGAAAATCGCTTTTATCCTTGATGAATCAAACATGTTGGATTCCAGTTTCCTGGAGAGAATGAACACTTTGTTGGCCAATGGAGAAGTTCCCGGATTATTTGAGGGAGACGAATACACAACTTTAATGACGCAGTGCAAGGAAGGCGCCCAAAGAGAAGGGCTTATGCTGGATTCTAACGACGAGCTCTACAAGTGGTTTACACAACAAGTTATGCGCAACTTACACGTTGTTTTCACGATGAATCCATCCACAGACGGTTTGAAAGACAGAGCGGCCACATCCCCAGCCTTGTTCAACAGATGCGTATTGAATTGGTTTGGAGATTGGTCTGATGGCGCGCTATTCCAAGTCGGAAAAGAGTTCACAAACAGACTGGACTTGGATAGACCCAACTGGAAATCACCCGACTTTTTCCCTGCAGTTTGTACGCACATTTCAGCTACACCAGTACATAGGGAAGCTGTTATAAACGCTTGCGTTTACGTGCATCAAACGTTGCATAAAGCTAACGCTAGATTGGCGAAAAGAGGTGGAAGAACTATGGCTATTACTCCTAGACATTACTTGGACTTCATCCATCATTTTGTCAAGCTCCACAACGAGAAACGTTCGGACTTGGAAGAACAACAACTCCACTTAAACGTTGGTCTAAGCAAGATTGCAGAAACAGTAGAACAAGTGGAAGAGATGCAGAAATCCTTAGCGGTTAAATCGCAAGAATTGCAAGCCAAAAATGAAGCTGCCAACGCTAAACTCAAGCAGATGGTTAAAGATCAACAAGAAGCCGAGAAGAAGAAGGTGCAGAGTCAGGAAATTCAGCAACAATTGGCTGGACAAACCATCCACATTGAGCAAAAACGCACCGAAGTAATGGCGGATTTGGCACAAGTAGAACCAGCTGTTATAGACGCTCAAACAGGTACGATTTATTACTTTGTATGTTTTCAATGTATGTATTTTTGATACATGTCCATAGTCAGAATTTCATTGCATTCCAAAAAAATGCTTCTAAATCGAGGGGTAAACAACCGGGCCAAATTTGTACGCCTATTACGCAAAACGCGTAATACTTCCAAGTATTACGTAAAATTACCTTGTATTACCTCGTATTACGTAATAAGTTATTACGTAATACGTATGTTATTACTAATAACATTTGGTTTTACCTTGAGTATTACTGATTATTACGTTTTATTACTTGATATTACGTTGTATTACTTGTTATTACGTTATATTACGCCCTATTACGTAAGTGCTGCCATCTTTAATTTTAATTATAAATTAATGTTTGAAGGTAAAACTGATGGTAGGCTCCATCACAATCCACACAACAAGGTCTGTTCTATCTCGTACTAAAAATCACAGCAACACTGCACAGAGTTTAACGGCGGCCATTTTTGTTGTTTACAATTCTTGTGCTTTGGGTTTGTGCTGTTTAATAATAGTTTTAAACATTGTGTTTCTTACAGAGGAACTTGTAAGCCTCAAATGAAGCCTTAAAGTGTCAAGGACAACCATTTTATTAACGACACAGGGTCTGCTCAAGCATCTTTTAATACCAACGTTTTTAAGGACAACAGGTTATTGTACCCAAAGATAATAATCTTTGATTGTACCCACTTAATTCGAATTAGTTTTAAATATATCGGCACTTTTGTCTTATATCTTTCTTTACATAAAGATAATGTTTTTAATGTCCAAGGCATGTTTAAAGTTAAAAAAGAGTGGTTAGGACATTTTGCGTTAAAACACTAGGTTTAATGAATGCACTTACTATCAAAACTATTAACAACTTTATTTATGATAAACTTTCTCGGAAATAACTGGTTAAATTAATTAAAAAAACGAAATAAAAGACAAATTTTCGGTCAAATTAAATTTACCGGTACACCCCAGTATTCAAACAATAGATGACGCGCACCTTTACGCGCAAAATGTGCATATTATGTATTACGTATTACTCAAAGTATTACGTGGTATTTCGATGTATTACTTAACTGTCACGTGATATTACATAATATTACTTGCTATTACGTGCAATTACATTATATTACTTGGTATTACAATAAAGTGTAATAGATTACATCCAATTTGTAAGCCTATTGCGCCAGTTGTTTACCCCTCGTTCTAAATGCAATCAAACCTCTGAGTAAAAAAATGAACATATTTAGCTGTAAAGTCGATAAAGAAGCAGCACTTGGTCGAGGTGCGCTCCATGGCGAATCCGCCGCACAGCGTAAAGATGGCGCTCGAGTCGGTGTGCCTTTTGCTTCACGAGAACGCCAACGAGTGGCGCTCCATTCGTTCCGTTATAATGCGCGAGAATTTTATCGCCACCATCGTGAATTTCAGCGGAGAAAATCTTACGTAATAATTTTTAAATTATTATGTTTGTTAATGGATGTGCCTTTAATGTCTTCTCTTGCATCGTGCATCAGTCCTGTCGCTGTGTTTTTATTTCATTATGAAATCAGACTTCACCTATTTGAAGGTTTTCGAAAACAAAAGTGGAAAAACGCAATTTGTTACATGGCGAAATATTTTACTCATTAATGCATCAGAAATGAATACTCTTCCTCTTTCAAATCCTTCTAACATTGTTTCTATATCTTTTCTCCTCTACGAGAAATAGTTAGTTGAAATGTATGATCAAACCTAACTCAAGATTAACTATCTAAAGTAACTAAAAAAATTCAAAAAGGATTTTGAAGAGGAATAGTGGTACTAACCTTAAATATTTTTCGTAAACCAGCAAAATATGGTTACTGTTCAAAAATGTTGTATAACTGCTTCATAAATTCAATACAGTGACTGGACTCATTGGAGCATGTCAATTTATGATTTATTTAATTTATATTATTTCTTTAAGCTTGTTTTTTATTTCCCTGGTTATTTTTTGTTCGTGCACAGCCGTAAAGTCGATCAAAAAGCAGCAATTGGTCGAGATCCGTACGATGGCGAACCCACCTGCCGTTGTAAAGCTGGCCTTAGAGTCCATTTGCTTGTTGCTCGGTGAAAATGCAAGCGACTGGAAGTCTATCAGGACCGTCATCATGCGTGATAACTTCATCAATACTGTAGTCAACAATTTTAACACTGAGGACATTAGGTATGCATGCGTAAAATACTCTACTCTACTACTACTACTTCTTCAATATTTATAACAGTTTTTGGCATCCTAGAGCGGTCAACTCAAAGAAAAACTATAAAAGATGTTAAACAACCATATGGTTTGACAAAAACTGTTAAAAATATATTATAATCTGTAGCATAATATTATAGAACAAGCTTTATTATTACTACCCTTTCTTATTTTGTATACGCTATTACGCTTTCTACATATTCCAAATCATAATCTTTATACAAAAACTTCTTCTAGCGATGATGTACGCGATAAAATGAGGTCCCGTTACCTAAGTAACCCTGATTACAACTTCGAAAAAGTAAACCACGCCAGTAACGCTTGCGGACCGTTGGTGAAGTGGGCCTTGGCGCAAATTCAATACGCAGACATGCTAAAAAAAGTTGAACCTCTTCGGGAGGAGTTGAACTCTCTGGAGACGCAAGCTGAAACAAATCAAAAGCGCGGCGATGAAGTTAAGAGTCTTATCGCGCAATTAGAGCACAGTATCGCTTCATACAAGGAAGAATATGCGCAATTAATTGCGCAAGCGCAAGCTATAAAAACTGATTTGGAAAATGTGCAAGCCAAAGTTGACAGATCTATAGCCCTACTAAAATCCTTGGTTATTGAAAGGGAAAGGTGGGAGGCTACAAGCGAAACATTCAGATCGCAAATGTCCACAATTATTGGAGACGTTTTACTATCCGCCGCATTCATTGCTTATGGTGGTTACTTCGATCAACATTACCGTCAAAACTTGTTCACCACATGGTGTCAACATCTGACACAAGCCACCATACAGTACAGACCTGACATTGCTAGAACTGAGTATTTATCAAATCCAGACGAAAGGTTAAGGTGGCAAGCCAACGCTTTACCAACGGACGATCTGTGTACTGAAAACGCTATAATGTTAAAGAGGTTCAATAGGTATCCTTTAATAATCGATCCTTCAGGGCAAGCAACCGAATATATCATGAACGAATTCAAGGATAAAAAGATTACCAAAACTAGTTTTCTGGATGATTCTTTTAGAAAGAACCTGGAATCTGCGTTACGATTCGGTAACCCTCTCTTGGTTCAAGACGTCGAAAACTATGACCCAATTTTAAACCCCGTTCTAAACAAAGAACTTCGCAGAACTGGCGGTCGTGTTTTGATCACTCTCGGCGATCAAGACATAGATTTGTCACCGTCTTTCGTCATTTTCTTGTCCACGAGAGATCCAACCGTCGAGTTCCCGCCGGATATCTGCTCCAGAGTTACATTTGTTAACTTTACTGTAACCAGAAGCTCGCTACAAAGCCAATGTTTGAATCAAGTACTAAAAGCAGAACGACCTGATATCGATGCCAAACGTTCAGATCTGTTGAAGTTGCAAGGGGAGTTCCATTTGAGGTTGAGGCAGCTTGAGAAGTCTCTATTGCAAGCTTTGAATGACGCTAAAGGTAAAATTCTGGATGATGATAGCGTTATCACTACGTTGGAAACTCTTAAACAGGAAGCAGCAGAAATCGGTCAAAAAGTTGAAGAAACTGATAAGGTTATTTCGGAGATCGAGATGGTATCTCAACAGTACATGCCTTTATCACAGGTAAAATATTAAGAAAATAATTAATATTTGTCATTATTAGTTTTTTTATAGGCTTGTAGTAATACCTATTTCACCATGGATTCTCTCAACCAAGTGCATTTCTTGTACCAGTACTCCCTTAAAATGTTTTTGGATATGTTCAGTACAGTACTGCTAAGTAATCCACAGTTGGATGGAGTTTCCGACTATCAACAAAGGCTCAACATTATCACCAGAGATCTTTTACAGGTAAGAACTATTTTCTATTTGTTGTTTTCGCGTATCATTTCGTAACTAAGGTTAATTTTTTTTATTTGGACTCGTGTTTTTGACACTGTCAAATTGAAAGTAATATTTATTATTGATAATTTACTTGTTAATTATTATATAATATCGATATAACGCACATGGGCGACAACAGTCATAAGTAGTAAAACCTTAATTCCGAGATAATGACCTTCAAAGATTTTTGAATAATAAAATTCTCACATATTATATTAGTTATATTAACTTACAGTATTTTCTTTGCAAAGAAAGAACCACACTAACATTCTGAGCCAGTTAAAAATTAGACTTTAGAAAATACTCTTTTTGGATAAGAGCTATTTGTAGATATGTCTGTGTTGCCGAAGAAGGTGTGCATCAATTTTGGAGATATGTTTGTGTTTCTGAAAATATGTGCATAAATTTTGCAGATATATCTGTATTGCTAAAAATGTGTTGATTATTTTTTTTATTGATCATTCTTTTATTTTTGATTATAAATATGAGGAACGTATGGCTGGCCCATCGGCAACGCTTTACACTTTCCCATGGTTATTTCAACCCCTTTCAGTTCTCCTACGTATCCCGCCAATGCACAGCATTGCCTGTGTTTGGTGGATCCGAAATTTTACCCCGGCTGGTAAATCACGCCTAGTAGGTCGTGGATGACAGTGTCGATGGTTAAGGCCACTCCCGGAATTTTGTAGCCGGGCCGGGCCTTACGCCCTATTTAGGCTAGTGGAGTGCGGACAAGGAGGGAAAACATTTTGGTTTTTGAAGGACATTGAACTGACCCAAAACTAAGTACTATCCGGAGTCGCCCTCAACCAGGGATTTAGTAATTACCCCATTCAATTGGGCTTGGTTGGTTAGTACGCTGCTAGGACCTATCCTTGCTGGTCTTAAGTACTTCCTGTTCGTATGTGTCCGTGTCTCTATCCTAGTCGGATTCCGATCTTGCTGACTATCGATAACGTTGCACCCCACTGTGCGGTTGTTTATTATTTCCCATAGAACGTTATTTATAGTTCCCTTAAATGTGCTTAGTAATCTACAGGATGAGATTCTTTTGCCTAGTTTTTATGTGAACTTGAGTGATTAATAGCTGCTTGGCTATGCTTGCTGTTCTTATGGAAACTGTTGGCGACTAATTATTTTTTACCTGGTGGAGTTCTTTATAAGTTGAGGTTGCGAAGTTCGCATTAAAATTTAGTATATTAGTAATGTTATGGTTATCCAATTTTGGTAGATTTACTTATCCGGTTTATAAAGACTTGGACATTGACAGGCAGGTGTTGTGAAATTAACCTCGACAGCCAACTATTTGTACGTGTTGTTTCTGTGTTGACAATCCAGGAAAAATTATTCGTTGCTTCCCATCACCTCACTCACATCCTTTTTCACAGGTAGAGCACTTTATTCTTATTCTGTCAAATTTCAATTTGAAGGTTAATTTGTGGGTTATAAAATACGCCGCGTCAGACGGTTCTCTATTGCGCTCCCGTTAACAGAGTGACGTCATCAAATGACGCAATCTTAGGACGGGAAGCAGATCTTCCTTAACCAACGTCCCGAGTCCGCCCGCTTCAAAACCAACCCAAACCCAACAACCCAACCCAACCGACCCCGCCCCATTGGCCCCCCCCGCCCCATTGAGTAGAAATTTTTCAACGAAGGAATATTCATTTAATTACATTTTATATTATATAACTAGCAAAATGATTATGAGGAAAGGTAAATAAATTAAAATATTAATGTAAAATTAAATATAAATGCTTTTAATGCCACATTGTATTATTTCGGTATATAAATTCTTTAAAAAAAAATTAAAAAAAGTTGTAGAGGCGCGAAGGATCGAACCCCGTACCTCCCGCATGCAAAGCAGGCGCCATTCCATCGAGCTACCGAGCTTATTGTAATAATTCTATCGCTCGAAAAATAATAACTATTTACAGTGTGTGACGTCACAAAGTTTTAACGGGAGCGCAATGGAGACCCGTCTGACGGGACTCTAGACATTATGTATAAAATAACCTTAAATTAACCTTCAAATTGGCATTTTACAAAAGAGGAGTAAAATGATTGTTCTTACCACTTTGAGGAGTCTTTTAAGCAAGTCTCTCTGTAAAGCCTGGTTCATATAGATGCGACATGCGAATTTGCGAAATGCGAAAATGTTTTCATTGGTCCATTTGATTTGGCGGGAAAAGTGTTTCGACGTTTCGACAGATTCTGCGAATTCGCATTATTTGAAATCTGGGGGACGGGAATCTTGAGATTGATCCAATATTTTGCGAAAATCGCACGAATTTGGCGTGATGCGCATGCGCATTAATGCAGATGCCTATTATACGTATTTGTTATATGTATTCGCGCCATTTTTGTTTATGTTCTGTGTTTATTTCATTTGTATTGCATCGTTGTTGAGTTTTATTTGAAATGTTTCTTGCTAAAGTTGTTTTTTATTCTTTATAATGGACAAAGAGTTTTTGGAGGTACATTAGTCTCTTATTTTACCTTATAGTAGCATATTTTTTTAGAAGTAACTTTACTATTTAAGTACCTACCTATAGAAAATGTTAACCAAGTATGGCAAATATCACCTGGAGAGAAAATAATGTCCCTAAAATACCATGGCAAATATCGCCTAGTGAGAAAACAATGTCCCTAAAATGGTTCCGACAATTCGCATCTATATGAATAGGAGCTGCGAAATGCGAATATTCGTATTTCGCAAATTCGTAAATTCGCAAATTCGCATCTATATGAACTCGGCTTTAGAAACACGTTTAAACGTTTAAAACGATTATTAATCTGTACAAACCCAAAGCACAAGAAATGTTAACAACAAAAATGGCCGCCATTGTATGTGCAGTGTTGCAGTGATTTTTAGTATTTTTACTATGAGATTAAACAGACCTTGTTGTGTGGATTGTGGGTTCAACCTTTTTTTTAGTTAATTTTCCTGTCTTTAAAAATAGCATCCATTTGGTTTGAAAAAGATAAGCAATAATCACGAAGCTTTTTCTTTTTTCAATTTACTGATCATTAATAGTCCTGGACAATATATACATTATAATTATTATTAATGCCCGTATGCACCGTTTTAAAGCCTAAGCCTAGTTAGCAAATCGCGATTATTAATCTTTCTCTATCATAATGCACCGCATAGATAACAAAGCGGATTATGCAATCTGGATTGGCGATTTGGCAAAGATGTTTTATTTGTCAAAAAACCACAAAAAACTGTCAATCTTAAATTTAAATCGATTGGCAACCATAGAGAAACAAACTATGTTGGCAAACTAAAATTTAAATTTTGTTATATGCCTAATATACAATGTACAATAGTTTTTATATAGAAATTTTTTTGGATCATCCTTCGTCCGTCTATAAAATGGGAGACCAGAATTCCTAACTTTTCACCAGCGGAAAAAGAAAATCTAATGATTGTTATGAGGTATTCTAAAATATTGGAAACTAACAGAACTGGGCTTCAATATTCAATTTCATTAAGAAAGTTTAGAACGGTGGGTTTAGTCAAGCGAAATCAGCGAAAAAACGAAAAATTGTCCATGGTGTCAAAATATTCGCTCCTTTCATCATTTCGTCGCGGAAATCCAAAATTAATTATGTCCAGAATATCTTGATCATCTTCTACAAATCCCTATTTAATAGTTCTTCTTTTAAATAAATGATTTAATTATACTAGTCCTTGAAATCCACTACAACGAAAGCCCAACCCTAACCAAACTAATCAATTTGGTTTTTAATCCTGCGATTAAACCTACCTAGCCGGTGGATCTCGTAATCGAACACTTAAACTACATTTTTCGCGCGGTGCATGACAAACTTTCGAACTAAGCGAGATTAAACTCTTAATCGAGCTTAAGTCCATACGGTGCATAAGCCACTACAAGTATTAACGTCCAGTGGCTTTAACAAAATACCCATTCACCATTGGAGTCCAATGATTGGACAACATTCACATAAAATTTTAATTTCTTTTATATAAATTCTTTTCAAATATGATGAATATAATTTTACTCATATACGCACCACCAAAGCCAAATTAATTGCATTTGACAACTCAACTTGACAACCGTTCAATGTAACCTACAATAATTTAAACATAACCACAATTACATTATAATTACATTTATAACTATAGTTATATCTAAGGCCCGGTTTTATCATCTCTGGTTAAAATTAAATTGCTACTTAATTGGTAGTTAATTTGTTTTTGTGTTTTTACAATTGGTAGTTATTTATCAAAGTGCAGATTATGTTTGAGTTTCCGTAACTAGGACTTCTTGTATCGATAATTTTTGAAAGCAAAAAAAATAACAGTAGGATGAAACCCATTGGAAAAGGAAAAGAATATAATAAAAATGAAAGGAAAAATAAATTACGGGCGATCTGACTTCGGGAAGTAGGAGGGGGGGGTTTAAGGGTAAAAAATGGTTTATCTCGATTTCCGGCAAAACTACAAGTCCTATGGAAAAAAGTTAAATGGCAAAATTGTAGGTAATAAAAGGATCTACAACTTTTGTTAATTACAATTTTTTTACATAACCTCAAAATTTATGTGAAAAATTCAAAAGATTTCAACCAACAAAAAGCACACCGACTTTTTGAAAAAAGCTGATATTTTGACGCGAGAATTTTCGATTGAAAATTAGGGTGCTTTTTTGATATTAAGTCAAAATAAGGCGAAATAATAAATATTTCAAATCAAATAAATTACAGTGTATTTGGAACATAAAAAGGTAAGTTTTCACCAAATTTCGTGGAAAAAAAATTTTTTTTTTAAAAGATAAAAATAAAAAACCAAAAACTTGGTTTTTTGAATTTTTCAGATAAATTTTGAGGTTATGTGAAAAAATTGTAAATACAAAAGTTGTAGATCTTTTTATTACCTACAACTTTGACATTTAACTTTTTTCCATAGGACTTGTAGTTTTGCCGGAAATCGAGATAAACCATTTTTTACCCTTAAAACCCCCCCCTCCCACTTCCCGAACTCAGATCGCCCGTAATTTATTTTTCCTTTAATTTTTATTATATTCCCCTCCTTTTCCAATGGGTTTCATCTTACTGTTATTTTTTTTCTCTTTTTACCATTTTTAAAGGCACTGGTCTATTAGTAAAGTTGTGGTTAACCTAAAAATACATTTAATATTGTGCTAATTTTAAATATGAATTTATTAAACAAAAATTTGTTTTCAACAGAAAGAAATGTGAAAAAAATATGGAAAACTATAGATGAAATAATTTATATTAACTAGAAAAACAAATAATAAGATAGAGACTAAAATACAAAAAAAAGAATACACTGAGAGTAAAGAAATAGCTAATATCTATAATAAATTCTGTACTGAAGTTGCTAAAGAACTGCAAAAGATATAATAATACCTGATATAACATTTGAAGAAGTTACAAATAATAAAACTATTTTTATGTCCCCTTGTACAATGAGTGAATTAGGAAAAGTTATCGCATCTTTGAACTATAATAACTCATTTGATGGTAATATTTACTACTAAAGATATTAAAGAGATTTATCCTAACATAAAAGAAACCTTACTCAGATGAATAAATAACATCTTTTAATTTTCCTGAAAAATGTAAAATATCTTCTTCCTATAAACAAAAAAGGTAGTAAAGAAGATCCAGGATACTACCTTCCAATATCTATTACTTCTATTTTTTCTAAAATTATTATGTTTAAAAAATAATTTTCTCGATTTTTATGTAAGAATGTCATATTCTCGCACGCAAAATCGTTGAAGAATGAAGCTCATTCTTAAACGATTTTTGGTAACATTTAGTTTTTAAGTATTGGTACCCCCAAAATGTCAAACTGATTAATAACCTCAAATTCATTACTTTTATTGAAAATGAAGCCTTTATTATTGTTTTGTAATATAAAGTTTGCTCCAACAATGCATTTTAATGCAAAATTTTAAGTTTAATGTGTAAAAGTGCAGTTCAGGTTGTACTTGTGCAGGATAACAAATATTGTCATTTTGTGTTGCCAACTGACATTTTGCGAGAAAAATCCCCTAACTAGCAACGACCACAAAACAATTAAAAAAACCTAAATAAAAGTTAAAATCGAGAAAATAGTATAAATCCCACGTTGCAGAAGGCTATTCTCGCACTCATTCGTTCGTCCACTCGCTCCTTCGTCGCTCGAGGCCAAATTTCGAATTCGTGCGAGAATATGTGGCCTTCTGCAACTTGTACTTTAATATACTATTCTCGATTTTTATGTAAGAAAGTCATATTCTCGCACGCAAAATCGTTGAAGAATGAAGCTCATTCTTAAACGATTTTTGGTAACATTTAGTTTTTAAGTATTGGTACCCCCAAAATGTCAAACTGATTAATAACCTCAAATTCATTACTTTTATTGAAAATGAAGCCTTTATTATTGTTTTGTAATATTAAGTTTGCTCCAACAATGCATTTTAATGCAAAATTTTAAGTTTAATGTAAAAAAGTGCAGTTCAGGTTGTACTTGTGCAGGATAACAAATATTGTCATTTTGTGTTGCCAACTGCCATTTTGCGAGAAAAATCCCCTAACTAACAACGACCACAAAACAATTAAAAAACCTAAATAAAAGTTAAAATCGAGAAAATAGTATAAATCACACATTGCAGAAGGCTATTCTGGCACTCATTCGTTCGTCCACTCGCTCCTTCGTCGCTCGAGGCCAAATTTCGAATTCGTGCGAGAATATGTGGCCTTCTGCAACTTGTACTTTAATATACTAATTTATTAGGAAAAACACATTAGGTAGCTTTAGATTTACGCGCAACCACGCGCGATTGGAGCGCCACGTTCCAATTGCGCGCGGAAGAACGTCAGTGTAAATGCTAATAATCACTCGGTTTTTAGACGTCTTAAAACCTGCATGATAACCCACGTTCTTTCCCAAGGGATTTTGTGCAGTTCACTTTTTTAAGTTGTTTTGACTTTCGCGCAGTTAACCTTGTCAAATTTCAAGACTGTATAATTCATTCGCAAATAATTTTTAAAATCCATTTTAAAATTATCACGCAACTCATTTATCAAAGGCATATATGCCATATATGTCCATATTTGTTACGATTTTCCATCCATGCTTTTACCCAACAAGTTCTTGTTGGGTAAAAGTTGTTGGCAACAACTCCTTTTCTGACGATTATTTAGAGTATTCAGATAGGCCAAGCACAAAGCTACTTTTATTTTTCATTTTTGGTTTTTAATTTTGTCCATGTTCGACAATCCGTCTATAAAACTGTTGAAATTTTTAACACTCCACGAGACAGGACTAGCACGAGTGAAACTTGACAGTTTTTGATTTACACTAGCACTTTTATCCTCTACGATTTACAGTACAGGCCAAAACCGCGCGATTGGAATGTTGCAATTTTAAGAAAACAAATTTTACAACGCGACACTCTTGGCCACGCGAAAAAACGCGCGATTGGAACGTGGCGCTCCAATCGTGCGTGATAGCGCGTAAATCTAAAGCTACCTATTGATTTTTTTTACTTTTGACAGCGCAAATAAGGTTATATTTGGCGATTTCCGGTAAAATTCTATACCAACCTGACAAAAATATGTCAAAAGTTGTGATTCTGTAACTAATGCTTCAACATGCGTGAAAAAACAGATTGCAATTTAACTAACAATTTGCCGCTAGTTAAATATAACTGTAACTTACGAAAGTGCTAATTAAATGCAATATTGATAAACCGGGCCTTAATATTGTGCTAATTTTAAATATGAATTTATTAAACAAAAATTTGTTTTCAACAGAAAGAAATGTGAAAAAAATATAGAAAACTATAGATGAAATAATTTATATTAACTAGAAAAACAAATAATAAGATAGACAGACTAAAATACAAAAAAAAAGAATACACTGAGAGTAAAGAAATAGCTAATATCTATAATAAATTCTGTACTAAAGTTGCTAAAGAACTGCAAAAGATATAATAATACCTGATATAACATTTGAAGAAGTTACAAATAATAAAACTATTTTTATGTCCCCTTGTACAATGAGTGAATTAGGAAAAGTTATCGCATCTTTGAACTATAATAACTCATTTGATGGTAATATTACTACTAAAGATATTAAAGAGATTTATCCTTACATAAAAGAAACCTTACTCAGATGAATAAATAAGAGCCATTCCACGCGTAACGGATACTGCAGTTGGCGTGTTTTTATTTACAAAATAATATTGTTCTATTATATTATTACCAATGTCAAATTTTTATAAATAGTTCTAAACTAAAGCTGTTTAACAAGTTTTTTATTTGGCAAAATTAGGTATCGTGATTGACTGTTTAATTCCTTAAAAATTAATAATTTAAAGCGTAACGGGCGGGACTATTGCAAAGTCCCGACCGTTACGCTTTAAATTATTAGTTTTTAAGGAATTAAAGAGTCAACCACGATACCTAATTTTGCCAAATAAAAACCTTGTTAAACAGCTTTAGTTTAGAACTATTTATAAAAATTTGACATTGGTAATACAATAGAACAATATTATTTTGTTAATAAAAACACGGCAACTGTAGTATCCGTTACGCGTGGAATGGCTCATAACATCTTTTAATTTTCCTAAAAAATGTAAAATATCTACTTCCTATATACAAAAAAGGTAGTAAAGAAGATCCAGGATACTACCTTCCAATATCTATTACTTCTATTTTCTCTAAAATTATTATGTTTAAAAAATAATTTTTATTAGGTAAAAACACATTGATTTTTTTTTTACTTTTGACAGCGCAAATAAGGTTATATTTGGCGATTTCCGGTAAAATTCTATACCAACCTGACAAAAATATGTCAAAAGTTGTGATTCTGTAACTAATGCTTCAACATGCGTGAAAAAACAGATTGCAATTTAACTAACAATTTGCCGCTAGTTAAATATAACTGTAACTTACGAAAGTGCTAATTAAATGCAATATTGAAAAACCGGGCCTAAGAGTTATATATAGTTTAGTTTGTTTTAATAAATTCAACCAATTTTGGTTCCGTATTTACCAACCAAACCCCTAAATTTGCAACGTTGCTGCAGTCCAGATAAAAAAAAGAACCTTATAAACATGTCATGACAATCAGTATTGCAACTTAAAAAATGTTCATAAAAATCGGACAATTAAATGACGTTTAGCGATGGCGAGGGGCCAACAAAAGTTGCAGTCTCAATCGAAAGCGGCCGAAAAAGCTGCCAAGTTAAAAAAACAGCAAGGTCATAGTGCGACAGATCAGAAAAACGCGGCCCTAAAAGCTTTAAGTCACGTGTGCTCAGTATGTAAGGCACAAATGCCCGATCCGAAAACCTACAAACAACACTTTCAAAATAAACATCCTAAGAATGAAGTGCCTGTAGAACTAAAAGATGTTCAATAATAAACGATCTTTTTAAGTTTATGTTGTTTTATATTTATCAACCTTTTTTTCAGGTTTGTTATGAAAGAGTTGCGAGAGGCATGATACACAACGATCGTTTAACATTCGCTTTACTATTGTGTCGAATTCATCTTAAAGGAGTTCCAAGCGAACCAAATTTGGACCAAGAGTTCAACTTCTTCCTTAGAGGTAAAGAAGGCGTATTTACGTCATCCTCAACCGATTCTGTGGACGGTTTGAACAATGAGCAACAAGAAGCCTTGACTAGGTTATCATTGAGATTGCCGGCGTTTAAAAAGTTACCGGAGAAAATCCGCGAAATGCCAGAGTTTGGAAACTGGTTGCAGCAAAGCACGCCTGAGCAATGCGTGCCTGGTTTGTGGATTGAAGAGAAACAGTTGAGTCCGATTGGAACTTCCATGTATCAACTCCTGGTTATACAAGCTTTTAGACCTGATAGAGTTATAGCTGCAGCTTCGTTGTTTGTTACCGCTGTGTTGGGTGTTGATTTCATGCCCAGCGCTGAAAAAGAATTGGACTTGGCTGCTTGCGTTGAAAAAGAAATAAGATCCAATGTACCAGCTTTACTGTGTTCCGTACCAGGTTTTGATGCTTCAAGCAGGGTTGACGATCTAGCCGCCGAGATAAACAAACAAATTTCAAGCATCGCTATTGGTTCCGCTGAAGGCTTTAACCAAGCTGATAGGGCTATAAATATGGCCTGTAAAACTGGCCGTTGGGTTATGTTGAAGAACGTGCATTTAGCCCCACAATGGCTTATACAACTCGAAAAAAAATTGCATTCGCTACAACCACATGCAGGCTTTAGACTGTTTTTGACAATGGAAATAAATCCCAAACTACCTGTTAACTTGCTAAGAGCTGGAAGGATATTCGTGTTTGAACCCCCACCAGGCATACGCGCCAATTTACTGCGCACGTTCAGTACAGTTCCTGCAAGCAGGATGATGAAAGCGCCCAATGAACGCGCTAGGTTGTACTTTCTGCTCGCCTGGTTCCACGCAATCGTGCAGGAGAGGTTGAGGTATGCACCGCTAGGTTGGGCAAAACACTACGAGTTCAGCGAAAGCGATTTGAGAGTCGCTTGCGATACTTTGGATACATGGATCGACTCTACAGCGATGGGTCGTACCAACTTACCGCCGGAAAAAGTGCCATGGGACGCGCTTGTAACGCTCCTCTCACAATCGATTTACGGTGGTAAGATCGATAACGATTTCGATCAACGTTTACTGAAATCGTTCCTGAAGAAACTCTTTACACCAAAAAGCTTTGAAGGCGACTTTGCCTTAGTGGCGAATATTGATAACGGTCCTGGTGGTAACAGACATATAACTATGCCTGATGGTACCAGGCGTGATCATTTCTTGAAGTGGATAGAAAGTTTAGCCGATAGACAAACACCAGCTTGGTTGGGTCTACCAAATAATGCCGAAAAAGTCTTGTTAACTACAAGGGGAACTGATTTAGTGAGCAAATTGTTGAAAATGCAACAGTTGGAGGATGACGATGAATTGGCTTATTCCGTGGATGAATCATCACCAGACCCTGCTCAAGTAGATGGAAGACCATCATGGATGAAAACTCTGCACAACTCCGCTTTAACATGGCTTCAATTAATACCTAAAAACCTACAAACCTTAAAGAGAACAGTAGAAAACATCAAAGATCCTCTCTATAGATACTTTGAAAGAGAAGTCAACACAGCCTCAAAACTGCTGTTAGACGTAATCCACGACTTAAACGATGTTTTACTGATTTGCCAAGGAGAAAAGAAGCAGACTAACTACCATAGAACCATGTTGGGCGAGTTGGTTCGAGGTATTATACCAGTAAACTGGCATAAATATACCGTCCCGAAAGGGTGCACTGTCATACAATGGATAACAGACTTTAGTCAACGTGTAAAGCAGTTGCAGCAAGTTTCCCTGGTGGTATCAGCTGCTGGCGCAAAAGAATTACAGGTGGGTGATTGATATTCCATTAAAATTATTTTACTAATTTATTATTGTTTTAGAGTTTCCCGGTGTGGTTGGGAGGATTATTAAACCCTGAAGCTTATATAACTGCGACAAGGCAGTGTATTGCACAAGCTAATAGCTGGCCTTTAGAAGAGTTACATTTGGAGGTTACTATTACGGATTCCAATGATAAATCCAGTATTCCCAGCGATTGTTTTGCTGTCATAGGTAATTCCAACTTTAAATCATCACAAATTCATCTAAATAACTTTTTTCTAGGCATTAAACTTCAAGGAGCTCAATGTCGCAACAACCAACTCTTGCTGACCTCTAGCATTATGTTGGAGTTACCTATAACTCTTTTAAGATGGGTGAGAGTTATAGGGGAAGAAAAGGTAACTGGAAGCAGATTATCTCTACCAATTTACTTGAATTCTACTAGAACAGAGCTGCTCTACACTATAGACCTGAACATAGCTCCAGGTCAAGATCCTCATAGCTTCTATGAAAGAGGAGTTGCTCTACTTACGTCTACAGCTTTGAATTAGGTCTTTTAGATAATAGATAAGTATAAAATGCTTAATATTTATTGTAATTATTATATTTTAATCTGTAATACACGCTAATATTAAGAAGTTGATTTATTTTTATCAAATTCATCTTCTTCAGAACTTGATGATAATGAAATATTTTTATAAGGTTTCATACTTTTATCAATATTATCAATTTTCTTGAAGGTTGTCACCCGCATATCTCTGTGTCCTTGGTGTTTTCGTTTTTCAAATCCGTTTAATCGGCGTTTCATGTTTATTTCGCTGGAAGTCTACAGAAATTTAGATAGGTGACAAAAATGTTTTATAATGCGTAAGCAATAACCACTAAAAAGTATATGTTTGATAAAGTTTGTTTACCACAGAATCAAGATCCTCAGTGTCTGTAGTAAAAGAAAATTGATTTTCTCTGGCATGGTCAAATTTGGTCTTTCCAACACTTTGTTTTTTAGAAACGTTATATAAGGTTCTACAACAGTAATTTTTGTAGCAAGACCAAAGATTAAATATACTCTCTCTTTTTTATATTTAATCTTTTGTAAGACTACCAAATTTTAATTTGTAAAATACCTATAATTCTATACATTTTTGAATCCGACCTCAGAAAACGCCGTTTGAAACATCACAAAATATTCTTTTCACAGAACTCGTTATGCCATCCTTTTCTTTAAAATCCTTTTTAATTTTTTATATTAAAATTTATGATCGGAATGAGGAATCACATTTTTACCTAAACCAAACTGATAAATTTTAACTAACGGTTTCTCGAAAAGGAGAAAAGATTTTGAAAAAAAATTAAAAAAGATTTTGAAGGGAAAGAATAGTTCTTTTAGATGGAGCAACGAGTTTTGTAGGAAAAAAATAACCTTAAATATTTGGGTTAACTTCTTGAAGGCAATACTGGTTTTTGTTTAAAAATTTTCTAGATCTGTGCTCTATTTATTTACCTTTCCGAAGTTCTGCTCCACAAACTAGATATTTCTTCTTCCTTAATCATCAACTGTTCCTGTGTGACCTCCTTTACTGGTACTATGGATATTTTAGTGTCCACTTTGTGTTTAATAGGAATTAAATCGCTTCTAGGCAGGGCCAATCGATACACAGTTCTACAAATGAAAAAATATATGAACAAGTTTTGCCACAAATCGTCTTACTTTGGCAAATAACAAGGTCCGACGTAAATTTGCCCACTGTTCACATCCATTGCTAGACCTTGTATCAAAACCATCTCTTCAATTTGTCCATGCGCATAAAAACTTTTGTAATCATTTAAATTTGGTATAAACGATCTTTTAACCATTTTCATTATATCATCTCTGTTGTTAAAATAACCCCTGTTTTCTAATAAAACTTGATATGTTATTATGGAGGTTGCATGTTTCCATAGAGCAGCTTCCAAACTTTAAGAATACGCCATTTAGTTTAATGAAAAATTAAGGTCTTACTTTAAAACTACTTTTTCTGTGGCCCGGGATACATTTCGAAAATATACTTAAAACATTCTACAGGCAGGACATAACAATGGCACTGGGTGTCACCTATTATGGTGCAGTTATATTTTCTTTTTGTCACAACTCCCATTTCCCCAAATGAGTGGCCATTTATTATGTACTGTTCAAAAGGTGTTTCCAAATTTATTGAAGGAATTGATTCTACCACTGGTAATTGTCCGTATTTCTGCAGATCTTCTTTTGTTAATTCAGTGAGGGCATAGGTTATTTTGATAACACCTTTAATATAATTAAACATTTTTAACAAAAAAATATAAATATCTACCTGTTGAAGCCACAAAAACTCCTATTGCTTTATCTCCTTCAGTGTAAAGAATTTCTCCTGGAGAAAGTAGTCTTATTTCCAACTTTTCAAGTAAATATTTTTTTGTTTCCGGAGTAATACTGTCCATCCAGGGGATAGATTCAATTAGTTCTGTTGCACTCGGAGGCCTTATGGATTTTTGGTAATTTAAAACACTTCTTATTTGATTTTCCAGAGATTTTATCAGTTTGTCGTGTTCGTATTCATCAATTCTACCTAAAAGTCTATGGTTATATGATTTGAGATAATATATAAAACTCACCTGAAGTTTTCATTTCGTCTATATCATGTTTAGTACTACCCAAAACCATACATATAACTTGCTTGGTATTAACAGTAACGTTAACCCATGGTTTATCAAGCATCAAATACCCCATTTTTTTCAAAATGTCCATCCTATCCCTAACCACTTGGGCTCTAATATTTTTTTCCAACATTGGATCATTTACAATATTATCTAAAACCTCAAGCAATTCACTTTGCCCTCTAATAAAAGCCTAAAATATGACTTATAGTTTTTACTAACAATCACTGGACATGTCTTACATTCCCTAGTGTGTACATAAAAACCAAGTCATTGTCCAGTTGGAACTCCACAAATTGGGAAACACCAGGTATAACATCTCCAAACCAAAATAGATACAGAAAAAAGATAATTAATCTTTGTACTCTTAGAATAATGTACAAAATACAAAATACTGTTGTTATAATGCTTTCCCCATCAAAAAAAAAGACCATGATAACGATGAATTGCAACAATGCGCTGAACAAGGTAAAGGCTGTCAAGCCCCTAAAAATATATTCATGTAAAAATATTTTTAGACCAAAGAGTAAAAAGATGGATATCAAGCTCTATCTTTCTGTTCTCTCATGTCATTTCTTACGTTAAGCAAAATTGTACGCCTTTTTTGAAACCATTTCTACTAGCTGCCATGATATCCACAAAAATATCCAGCCATGTTAAACAGTGAATAAACAATAAAAAATAAATGTATGTTATCAGATTCTTACTGAATAACGCCAAATACATAATAATATCGACTAAAATAAAGCCCCTGAATATAATAAGAAAACAAAACGTTCTTTTCTGTATGTAACAAAGTGCTCCGCAAAAAAAATTCGGCTTACGCAAAGCTTTTTCGCGAATTTTAAGGTTCACGAAGAATATAAATATTTTACAGTAATTCTGAAAGTAATAGTTAATATAATATCTGTTCCTAAGAGCCAAAGTATTCCAAGTCCAAATTTGCCCAAAATGAGACAAAATTTGTCTATATATATTTAATATGCTATCCTTAATAAATCTATAAGGAAAACAATGCACTTTTGAAATTTAGAATATACCCTTCGGTTTGAATTTTAGATATTTATGAAATATGTCAAAACCAGTTGACGCATAGGTCAACTCCAGTTATCCTTTTTTGTCTCAGACTAGCTGAATCTTGTTCATGTGCTAAGTCCATAACAAGTTTGTAAAATATCCCATTCATTATTATTATTGTTAGTGATATTCCGGACTTGGCGTGAGGACAAGTCCATAACTAAAAGTGACGAAAGCGCTTGGCTACTCATTTTAATAATAAATATACCGATATACGAAACACACCCCCCTTTTTATTAACACACACGGTATACAATAGGGTGATTCATTTCCGCAAAAAACTTTTTTTTTCTCGGGGCTCAAGCAAAATATTAATCTACCTATAAAAAAAAAATTTCACCAAGGTAGAGCTCTTAATATCAATTTTAAGTACTTGCAGTTTAAATTTAAAGTTTTCCCATTTAAAATGCATGTAAAAAAAATGTTTTTTTTTCTTTCAAATTTCTAATGCTCGCCCGCTCTTTACAATATTGTGAATCGGTTTTATGGACCTTATAGGGAATTTCACGCTCTTCAAAATTGTCTTTGTGTTTTTTTGTGTAACTCGTAGTGGTTCGCCAGTAGGAGTCATCAAAGTTCAATTTTTGAATGAACATTTTTTTTGCAATTTTTTTTAACAATTCGCAAAAAATATTGAAAAAAAAAGAGCTGAATCGTAAAAAATAGTCTTTTAACAAATATTTGATGAATTTACGGCCATTTTTATATCTTAAAACGTAAGTAATTGATAAATATTAACCAATTATGCTATTTAAATTAAACTTTCTTATTTTCTATCGATATAATTCTCTACAACAATAACTTTTCCAGAGTTATTATGATTTATGACTTTTAATAAATATAAAAAACACATTAATTTATAAAAAAAACAACAAATATACAATTGCAACTTAGATTCTGCAATTTTTCAACATTTCCGTAATATAGCAATAAATATAAATGAAGGTTATTCAATTTTTTTAACAAAATTCTTAAATTAACGAAAAAGTAAATTGTTTTTATTTTCAACTTCATTTGCTTCAATATTGTATAAGTAGAAATTGCTATTTAAATAATTGCACTAAATAATATTTTGCATATTCGAACATAAGTAAAAAAATAATAATTATTTGATTGGGAAAGCAACTGTTACAATTTTATGATTGCTCTAGTTAATTAGTATGACGTTAGCGACTCTATTGTCTTTGTAAACGGGTTTGATGCTTTATGTTATACTATTTATAGGTTATAACCTCAAAATGTATTGTTTGTTGTATTTAGTGATTAGTCCGAGAACAAAGTACGAAGTGACTAGGTGCACGTTAGAGTGCCTGCAATTTATTTTTTACGGGCACGCTAGTGACGTAATAGATAAAAAACGTCATCACTGCCGTGCCGCTTAATTTAAAATTGGCGGCACAACAATAATATAATAATAAATTGTACCTGGATACATGTTAAGGGCACGTTAGTTACGTTATTGTTGTAGAGAATTATATCGATAGTAAATAAGAAAGTTTAATTTAAATAGCATAATTGGTTAATATCAATTACTTACGTTTTAAGATATAAAAATGGCCGTAAATTCATCAAATATTTGTTAAAAGACAATTTTTTACGATTCAGCTCTTTTTTCCACTATTTTTTGCGAATTGTTAAAAAAAATTGCAAAAAAAATGTTTATTCAAAAAATTGAACTTTGATGACTCCTACTGGCGAACCACTACGAGTTACACAAAAAAACACAAAGACAATTTTGAAGAGCGCGAAATTCCCTATAAGGTCCATAAAACCGATTCACAATATTGTAAAAAGCGGGCGAGCATTAGAAATTTGAAAAAAAAAAACATTTTTTTACATGCATTTTAAATGGGAAAACTTTAAATTTAAACTGCAAGTACTTAAAATTGAAATTAAGAGCTCTACCTTGGTGATTTTTTTTTTTCTATAGGTAGATTAATATTTTGCTTGAGTTCCAAAAAAAAAAACTTTGCGGAAATGAATCACCCTAGTATACAAGTCAAATAATATATTTTAAAAAATTTTCTCCAAGTCAGATTATGCGTACGTTAGATAAGAAAAACATCATATTGTATTCTCGTAAATGAATAATTGGACTTGGAATACTTTGGCTCTGATGTACAGATATAGAGAATATAATAAATAAAGTGCTCATGTCACATGTCGGAATAACAGGGAGCGATATTTATAATTTGACTACTTTTTTGCCGACAGATTTTGAACCATAGACACGTGTAGTAAGCCCTCCATGTCTTATATTCTTTAAGAAAGTTTCTTTACTTTTTGGTCGAATTTTTTGCTTATAGTTGCAACCCTCATTATTTTTGACTTTGAAATATACATGGCATCGTCAATTAAATTGATTAGCTCCCTTAAAGCTTGTATAGGCAAGGTACCTTCTTCATATTGTTTTAAATACAAAACTCTTAAGGTTTTGAGAACTCTAAATCTTGCATGTCTATAAATGTCATTGTTATAAAAAAAATTGACATGTCATTTTACTAACAGCATTGATTCCAAACTAGACTTCTGTATAACTTCTGGCTTTCTTTTAAAAAACAATTTCTGTTTTATTAATATTCTAAATGCCAACAATTTTCTGACGAAAACCCAATCTATTGGACCTGAGGACCTATAAAAAAACATGCAATCCTTTAGAGACGTATAGCACGTCAAATATATATATATATACAGTGTGGCCCACTTAAGATGGAAACACCCCCGTAACTTTTTTATTTGTAACCCGATTTTATTGAACAAAGGCTCAAAAGATAGAGAATAAAAAACTCTATTAGAGCTGTTAAAGTTGTTTTTAAAGTCACCCGACACATGCCTACTATAATTTTTTTTCTGTGTCAAAATTAAAAAAAAACATTTAGGGTAATTTTTACGAAAAAAATAAGTACGCCACTGAATTTGGCATGCTTAAAAATGGGTAAATACCAAATTTCATTACGCTGTGGCTCCCGTACCGAGGCGGGACTTAAGTTCAGTCCCGATTGACGTCATAATTTTAAGATTTGTTATGTTATAATAAAATAATAATAATAATAAATTGTACCTGTATACATGTTAAGGGCACGTTAGTTACGTCATAAAACCAAACCAACCCAAACTCAACAACACAACCCAACCGACCCCGCCCCATTGGGCCCCCCCGCCCCATTGAGCAAAAAACCCAACTAAAATGGGCAAATTTATGTTACGATAAAAATAAAACACTTTTTAACAAAGAAACAACAAATTTATAAAATAAAAAAAGTTTGACAACTTCTAGTAGAATCGAACCCGGTACCTCTCGCATGCCAAGCGACCGCCCTACCATCTAAGCCATCCAGCTTGACACCAATTTTAAAAGCTCGGGGAATAAAAACGGATTTACAGTGTGTGACGTCTGTCGGGATCGAAGTTAAGTCCCGCCTCGGGACGGGAGCCACATCGATTTCATTAAAAACAATCGATTGATAATTATTTTACAACGGTTTATTTATTGATTTTTTAAATGTTTATAACGACAATAGAAACACATATAAAAGGTTTAGGAAAAAAAATAGGTACGCCACCGACAGTGGCGGACATATAATCGGGCAGTTCGGTGCAGTGCCCGGGGGCCCCGGTCATATAGGGGCCCCCAGACATAAAGAAAATTCTAAATTATACATTAATAATAATTATTAATACACCATTTCACGCCTACTAAATTATTGAGAACCACGCCACCTATTAGTAAAGCTCGAAAACAAGGCGTATACTCTATGCGATGCGCAGAAAACTAACTTTCGACCTTGGTTTTCGAGCTGTACTGATAGGTGGCGTGGCTCTCAATAGTTATAAATAAGACAATTGCGATTGGCCGGCCACGTATGTGCAGTAACAAACCGCGCAGTAAAGAATCTTGATCGTTGACGCATCATTGACAATTAAGAATTAGACAAGTCGTTTCGAATTCAAATATTTGGTAATTAATCAAGAAAAAAAGAAATAGTTGTTGGTTTTTATAATGAGGTAATTCCTTAATATAAATAATAACAAATACCTACGGTGTTTTTTAACTACATAGGACAATAGAGGTAGGTAATCCGATAAATATTTTAGCACTATGTGCATACTTACATTTTTAATTTGTATTTAAGTTTTTGCCACAAAAATAAATTTAATACCTATAGTACAAGTACAAGCGCAAATATAAAAGTGGAGCCGAAAAACGTAAATTAAAACTAGAAAATTTTGAAAAAGCTAAAAAATTGCCCAAGATCGATACATTCTTTAACCAGCAAAATGCCCCTGGGCAGAGCTCAAGTCGTTTGTCTTCATCGAAAGAATTTGAATGTCCAATCACCAATATCCAATCAGAAATATCCACAAATCATTAATATTACAAAACATACCTCTTGTTGGAACACAAGTTA